TTAAAGGTGAAAATCGATTGGAATGGATAACAACTCGTAACAAGGAGATTTCCCAGCCTAGATTGCCTTTCTGATGGTCAAAGGCTTGGGCGACACTACCAGTGTTGCCCAGACCAAAATAGTCTAGGTTCAATAAACCTAGCCAAAAATGATCCGGGAGATAAGTTAGGTCAAAGATACGCGATTTTGAACAGTTTTTGTTGGGCGACACTAGGTGTGTTGCCCAGACCAAATCTGCCCAGAATTGGCAAATTCTGACTCCGGGGTGATCCAAAGGCTTTTGATATATTACCTGCCAAAAATCTCGTGATTTGAGCCAATTTGGGCTGGGGGATACTAAGTGTGTCGCCCATACCAAATCTTCCAAGAATCAGTAGATTTCGATTCTGGGGTGATCCAAAGGCTTTTGAGATATTACTTACCAAAAATCTCGTGATTTGGGCCAATCTAGGCTAGACGACACTAGGTGTGTCTCCTAGACGAAATATGCCCAGAATCGACAGATTTCGATTCCAAGGTGATCTATGGGCTTAAATGATATTGTCTGTCAAAAAATCAAATAAAAAAACATGGTTTTGCTATTTTTACTTGATTTATTCCAAAACCAGTGAGTATGCATGATTCTAACAGGTAGTATGGACTATGGTGGTCTATGGTTTAGGGATATATTGGGATAGTGTGGTCCTAAAGCTATCTAGGATTTAGAAAACCATTAAATATGCCAATTTTCAAAATGGGGTGTCTACAAGTTTATTTGTTAATGAACAAGGAAAAAATCCATATGATCGCCTATATTCAACATAAAAAGCTGGTGTTTGAATGGCATCTACCATTTTTGTGTGAGACAAGGCTAAAACTGATGGATAAAAAGGGTATATCGTATGTTTTCTCTAAGTATATAAAGAAACATCCCAACCAATTCGCGTGTATTGGAGATGACTTCTATTCCTAGTTTTGGTGCAATTTGCAATGGAATAAGGTAAAACAAGCAAGAACATCACCTAAGGGGATCAAGTAAACTTATACGTAGGCTATACAAAGGAGAGAAACAAGCAAATTACCACAATCTATACATTAAAAAAAAGAGATAGCCAAAGCTGGAGCAAGACATTTTCCTTAAGGAATGTCTGTGAGCTGATGGGGAAAAGGGCAACAATGACATTCATTTAAAGGTAAACTCAATTGTTGCACTTCATTTTGAGAGGTCTAGAGGCACATCCAACCATGAAGAAACCTTCTTTTGAAAATGGTAGGTACATATTTACCCAGCTTAATTATCAATTTGTGACGATATGGCCATGACAAGAAACCCAATCACGAAAGTGGGTACAACGTTACCTCATTCGCTTCATTCAAATCCAGAGCCAATGTTGCAACTATCAATAAATCAAACTACGAATAAATAAGTACCAATCCTAGTTACTAGGATCTCATGGCCCGCATGGCAATTCCACTTCAAAATCCCGATTCAGCAATTCCAAAAAGTGATCTATATAGGTTACCTGTTTCCTTGAAGTCAAAAATCTCAATTCCAACTCTTCCCCAAGGTTTCAAAAAACGCTAGGCAGCCCCTAGGCAGCCTGCCTGGCACCCGGCGCCTGACACCTAGGCAAGCGCCCAAAACCTCAGGCACCATGTGGTGCAATAAGTTTAGAGATTGAGGGTTTCTTTTTTTTTCACTTTGGGGATTCAAAAATAAACCCCATAACATTTTTATACAAACTTGGGGGTCAAAATGACCATTTTTTCCATTTTGGGCAAATTTAAAAATCGAAAAACGTCTTACGGCCCTGGCCGCTGGGGGCCCTCCCAAGTCCAACCGCCCGTGTAGGGCCGCCTGGGTCGAGGAGTGCAGTTTTTTTGTTCAAGTTGCCTAGGCGCCGAGCGGACCGTTTTTTGAAACCTTGCTTTTCTCGAATCTTGATCCCAACATCTATAGAATCACGATTTCAGCTTTTTCGAATATCGATTCCAACATTTATTGAATCTTGATTCTGCATTTGTTGATTCCCAATTCCACATAAAATGAATCTAAATTGGATTTTTTTTTTTTAATCAAGAGTCCACAACATCAATTATCTCGGTTCATAGGTATGGGAAACTTCAATTCAATGAACATGGAATGTGGCTTTCACCTTCATAGAATTTTGATCCCAATTTTTTGGAATCCTAATTCCACAAAATCAAGTATTGATTTTCGTTGGACATCGAATTTCACCTCAAATATTTATGGGTAATGATTTCAGTTTTTTTTTTTTTTTAAATTGTTAACTGTTATGACTTCAGTTATTTGGAAACCCAATTGGAGAACATTGTTTCCCATAGTTTATAGGTGCTCCAAATAATAATCTGATGAAGGCAGTGTTGAAGTATTTGTAAATTGTAACATGAATCAACTTTCAAATGCAAATGTTTAGAGTTAAGAAATACTCAACATGTATGATTCTAATGTCTTTTACAAGTAACAAAGTTAGGTATTCTTCGAAAAAAAAGTAACAAAGGTAGGTATAACTACGGTGTTGGAGCATCAATGAGAGTACAAATGGCACTAGGATTGGCTCAGATCATGAATATAATAATGCTAGAACTGGCTCAGATCATGTTTCTAATAGTGTCAGGATTGATTGCTTTTTTCTAAAACATAATTGGTAAAGAATTTTACATTCAAATAACACCATGGCACAAACAAAGTCCTATTCTAAACGATAATAATGAAATCAAAATCATATTTCAAAAATACATGAGATAATATTTGTATCTTTTGTAGACAATTTCCGAGGTGGACTATGAGTACCTATTATTTGACCTTACTTCTGACATTGTGTTTGAGGCTCATTAGTCAATAACTCAATACATTGACTTCATATCTACGGAACCCTTCTTTAGGGCTTAGCGACCTCTGATCTTGATTGTTGATGAGGTTCTAAGTTGTTAAGGCACGAGATGTGTGGTTCCTCATATAAAATGATTGACTCTAGAGATATGGTAATATGGAGAAGACTAAATTGTTTGAAGCACGAACAGAACCGGAAGCGCCCCTTGTTTCAAAGAGAGGGGGACGGGTTATTCACATTTCATTTGATGGTCAGAGGCAAATTGAAAGCTAAGCAATGGTAATTCTAATAACGAATCGCACGTAGAGATATTGATAACACACACAGAGTTAACGGTATTTCATAACTAATAGATTGAGCTGCAGCTCGTAGACCACCTGAAAAAGAATATTTATTATTTGATGCATATCCTGACATAAGAAGTCCAATAGGAGCAATACTGGAAATTGCGATCCATAGAGAAACACCTATACTTAGATCGGCGAGAACAAGGCGATAACCGAAAGGAATTACCAAATGACTTAGTAAAATTGATATGATATTCCGATTCCAGCCAACGAAGACGCTATAGCTTCAATCCAATTGATTCTTAATAAATTAGTATTGGCAATTCGTGAGGGTCATTATAGCTATCTAGGAAGTCATTGATTAAAAATAAGATAAGTCAATTATAATAAGATAAGTCAATTATTTCGGTAAATCAAGAATTTATTGAATCGGTTACTATTCCTGAATCTGGAAAAAGAGATTCAAATCAATAGTCATGATATCTGATTACTTCTTACTGGGTATCATGTAGGAATCTTGATTACAAAGGGGTTGAAACTCAACCCCATAGAGTTACAAATTTCTATTGCCATGTGGGTCGAAACTCCCCAAACTTATATGAATCTCAATTCCAAACTAGTATGAATCTTGATACCAAATACATCAAAAACTCTATTCCAAAGATGTCAGAATCGTGATTGCACATATTAAGGAACCTCGTTTCCATATGATTGATTCCAAGTAGGTTACAAACTCGATTCCAAAGCGGTCAAAATCTCAATTCTATGACTATAGGGATATTGACTCCATTTGGGTTGAAACTCAATTCCAATAAAGTAAGAAATATTGTTTCTCGCGATTCCCCTAGTACAGTCGTCGATTCCAAAAACATGAATCGTTTAGCCCGCTATGATTACACAATTCTGATTCCTAAAACAATTCGGAATATCAAGCTTTCCAACACCTATGGTACTAATCAAGTAAATTATTTTTAAAAAATTGAGGTAGGCACATGGTTTCCATTCCTAAAGCATGGAATTCCCAGCCTTAAAGGAGAAGCAGGCATCCAAGTTCAAACATCAACCAGTGAACTTTTCACTCAGCTAGTGAGCCAATTATCAACTTAAGATGCAATCAAATCCACATTTTATGGGTCAATGATAATCAACAGTAAAATCCCTCCCATAAACCTAATTTGGCATCAAAACTCATGTAAAAATCAACTAAAGCTTTTAAAAAAAATTATAGCTTTGAAGTAATTCATCACCATTTATGATGACACGACCATGAATATGCAGTAAACGTATTGCCAAAACAATCATGTATTCATATCAGCAATATTATATGCAGAAAATATTCCAGAAACCAACTCCTGGGTTAGTTTTCAAGATTTTATCATAGGAGCCCAGCCTCAACAAGGAATCCTTGCAACTAAGTTCGTGAAAACATCTTTCCAATAAAAAAAGAAAGAAAGAAAAACAAGTATTGTAGAAATGTATGCAGCATTATCCAAAATACAACCACAAGCATGCAAGTTCATCTCAGTGCCATATTGAACTAGACATCATTTCCAAATCTAAAATGCCATTCCGGAAACCAGATGAATCAAATTACAATTTTTGAAGGAAAAATAAATAGACCATTGCCAAATAAAAATACAAAATAAACCACTTCCTTCTAGATTAGAACAGTTATCCTCTCACTTCGGACTTTCATAAACTCCAAAATACACTGATGAAAGATAACAAATATAGAAAGGAAAAAACATCATCGTGATGCATGAAGAAGAAAAATATCAAAAAAATAAAAGAACTATGGTATTCAGCTTACAGAAAAGGTGTTCACATGTAAATGTATTTCCTGATCACCGTGAAAATCTAGAAACAAAGAGAGTCTCACCTTCGTACCCTGAGTCCTTGTGACTAGGGTTTTCCCTACTGTCCTAACATTGAAGATTGATGGCGCTTTAATATCATACCAGTCTTTCTTCGCAAAGGGGTCGACTCTGCACAAAACAAAAATAAATAAAAAAAATCGCAAGAACAGAAATGATTGATGAATAAACTTGCGGTTATTCTTCATTCCTCAAACCTAGAGAACCAAAAAAGGTAAAAGAGGGGCCAACAAAAAGAAAAAAGCTAACTGAGGTTAAGGTGCATGGATAAGATCTCTTACGCCTTTTTCTTCCCTCCCTTCTTTCCTTTCGAAATCCTCTTGTTTTTCCTGAAAAGAAACAATTGAAGCATGAATTAGTAGTATAAGAGATCGAGCGAGAGAGAGAGAGATAGAAAGGTTCCAATACAGAGCCAAAGAGAATGAGCTCCATGAAGAGGATCCCCAAGAGAGAAACAGTTATATGACGAGGAGCCAGAAGACAAAGATTTCCATGAAGAAGCTGAGAGTAAGAGAGAGACGACTAACCCGACCGCCATTGCTGAAGCTCGATACGGGTATGAATGAGACTTGCCAGGAGCTTAGGTCAAGAGAGACACTAACAAGGCGAGCTTTTATACAGGGACATGGTTACCATGTCCCCTCTTAAAAGTGAATTTATGATAGATGTTTTAGACCTAATTTTTAAGGAATCGGTGTAATTTATGTCAAGGTCCAAAAAATCAAAGTAAGGCCCACTTCTAAATCTTTAGAAGAAAAATGTAGTTTTGGTGCTCGAAATCCTTGGGATTAAAATTTTATTATTAGACCATAAAATTTTAAGTCTGAAAAATAATGTAGGTCAAGCATATCTATAAATATTTAAATTTAAAAAAAATAAACAATTTAGATAATATGTGCTTCGATGGATAATTTTTAAAAATTGAAATCATTTTTCTTTGTGTCCCTAGATCTAGAGTTCAAGATAATCAATTTTAAGGTTTTTCTTTTAGAATGAATTTTTGAGACACACCTTATTCCTATAATCTAAGATTCACACCTTATATAACCTATTTCCAAGGAATATGTTTCTTAAAACTAAAATTAGTAATTTATGATGAAAATATTTAGACCATTGATTCTAACCTTTTTGGAGGGACCCCTCATTTGCATCTATTTTTAAGATGGACGTTTTGTGCCTCGGGTGACGCAAATGCAAAAATGTATCCTCCGACACATACAAAAATGTTCCTTTACATGTACACCCCTTTGTCAATTTTGAGATTTGTGGAAACCTTTGGCCTTTGGTTTTGAAGGCATTTTTTTGTTTTTGTTTTGGGTCATTCATTGGGGAAGATAAGCTTCTACCCATTTTTTCAGCTAGATTAAGGAGTTAGCTTTTTGAAAGTGTCATATGTGTTGTCAACAGGATTGAAAACTATAACATAGTAACTAAGTATGGGGGTGCTACCGCCATGACCCAACCTCTTTCCTGTTTTGAAGGCAGTTGGAGCATGACACTTACACTATCAATTGAAATGCTTGGCCACTGAGATGTGTTTTGATCACACTTTTTGTAAATCATGACTGCCAGATCGCAATAGGAAGGGGAAATTTGCTTTTTGCTTGGAACTATTTTGTATCCCATTTTTGAGATATTTAAAAAATTGTCTTGAAAATTTTAGCTTTTACACCTATCTACCTTTTTTATTATTTTACTCTTTTCAAAATGCCCCTAGGTCGAAACTTTAAGATCTATCATGCTATCAAGTCTGAGTTTGGATTTATGACCTAGTTTATTTGGAAAAACACCATGCCGAAACTTGTAATTCTAACCTATTTCAAAGCAAGTCATATCTATGTTCGGTTAGATGATTGAATATCTTTAAAGATGGTAAAAACTCAATGTGCCTAATTTGCTCACTTTCCTTTTCTGTTTTACTCCCACTCTCTCTCTCACTCACCCGCTCTTATTCTCAGACCCCTCGTGGTCCCCTCTCCAATCCATTATTGCTTCTCTCTAATTCGCAAGTCTCTCGCTCTTTCACTCTGTCTCTCGCAATCATTCTATCATTTTGGGTTCCAAGACCGGAAATGCTCCTCCTATGTGTTGTTAAATTGCATTATCTTTTCTATCGTTAACCACTAACTTTAGGGTTTCTGATGATAATTAATTTAAGTTTTTTTGTTTATATTTGATACATTTACCAACAAGGAATTTGCATGTATTTGTTGTTTGTTGTAATGAAATTTATGCCCATTTGGATCCCTAGAAAAAATTGTCTGGAAAACTATTTCTTGTGAAATATATTTTAAAAAATATTATTTCTTATAAAATGAGTTTTAGTTATTTGAATAGTATATAAATGTACCTTGGAAAATATATTTCTACATCAAAAAGGGTTTTCATGCAAATAATTTCAAAAGAGGAAAATATGGTAGAGATAGAGAGAGAAAGAAATGGCTAGAGCAGTTGGAAGTGGAAAGAGATATCTAGAAAAGACGTAAAGAGAGAGATTAGAGCGACATGGAAGTGGAAAGAGATATCTAGAAAAGATGTAAACAAAGAGATGAGATATAAGTATTTTTGAGATTGAGAAAAAAGAAAAAGAGGTGGTCCGAAGAGAGAGAGAGAGAGGGATGGAAAGAGATTGCCTTTTTTCTGTCATGGACCCAACAAGCTATACACTCTTTATTTTTATTTTTATTTTGTTCAGCTCTGTAAGGAAATCTTGCAAGGAAATAAATTGTTTAGCTCGTTGGGAGAGAAATAGTTTCTCTAGGCTCAAAATAGATAAAATAATTTCTAGCGAAAAAATTTCTTTGGATCCAAATGCTGGAAGTGAGGAATCTACCAAGAAAACTATTGCCTAGAAATCTTTTCTCAGGGTTCCAAACAGCCCCTTAGGGTTTTTATATTTCCCTTTGGACGACAATGAATTTGAATGGATATTTTTTATTATAGTGATTTGAGGGTTTTTTTTCTTTTTTTTTGCTCTTGTTGAATTTACCTTAAGGCACTATGTTTGTATGCATTAGTTGTTTATTGGAATAAAATAAAGGTATCTTTACAATTTTATTTTATTTTTATACGTAGTTATGGGAAGACAAGGGAGTACGAAAGAGAGAGGAAGAAAGGGGACTCTTGGATGAGGGGGAAGGGCCAGGAGAGTAGAGGTGGTGGAAAGGGACAAGGAGGAAAGAAATACAAGCTTCTCCTATGCACGTGAAAGTGTCCACATGCCAGGCCTGAAGTAGGATGTAGGATGTTGTGAGCCATACTTTCTAGGGTTGAAGGCCCCATAATATCTGGTCCAAGGTATAAGGATGAGAGAGGCTCCATTGAAGGTTAGGTTAGTCGAAGAGGAAGCCCTGTGGAAACTATCCTTAGAAGGAAACGCAAACAAGAACTGCCCACCATAGAGTTTGCGACATGAGAGCTCAGGTTCAGGCCAAATATCAACTGCCCACTAGAGAATGGTGAAGAGAGTGGGCAATGGAAGTTCAATGCTTTCCATTGATGGAGATGCAATGGGGAGCAAGCCTACGCATGAGGGGTAAAGAAGTAGGGTGGATCTTAGAAGTTAGAGAGGGAGAGAAAACAAGGGGAATGGCATTAAGGAGAGGGCAAGGTGTTGAGAAGGCCAGGAAGGGAGGGACTATGTGGTTTGATAAGCCTGGAGTAGACATCATGTGTGTGTGTGGGTAGGGGGGGGGGGGG